GTTCAATTCCCATGACAATTCCCGTGGCACCCATGGGGCGTTTTCCTCTCTCTGCACGCTCAGGGTGGGAGCTGGGGCTGGGGGGAGCCTGGGGCTGTGGCACTGTCCCTGTCCCCATCAGGCTGGGTGGATTTGGTGCTTTTCCTGTATCCCAAAAGAGTTTGGGATGGTGTTTTGCAAAGCTCCAGTCAGACTCTGGGGCTGTTACCCAACAGCTTCTTGGGGACAAAGGGGACACGTTGCACACGTGGCAGCTGCCCTGTGCTGCCCACCCCTCTCCTGGGGACCCTGGGGACTGTGTCACGAGGCTGAGGGGGACGAGATGGGGCCAGGATGTGCTGGCACAGGGCTCACAGCCTCTGCTCCTCCCTTGAGGATCCAGAGCTCCCATGGGGATGGCAGAGTGGCTCGAAAAGCCCAGCCCAGGAGAGCCCTGGGACACCCGTGAGCCTCGAGGGGGTGGCTGCCCACTGCGGGAAGCGCTCTGGGGTCTCGAGTTTCAMATCCCAGCCCTGCTGGAAGTGGGGATCCAGAGGGCTCAGGGTCCCCGGGAGCTGCCCCTGCCCCGTGGGCGCAGCAGTGCCAGCCACCGGCGGGGCTCCGGGGGGCTGTGCCAGCGCCGGGGACCCTCTCTCGGGGCTGGCTGGTGACCTGTGCCAGCTCCCTGCAGCCGTGGGGCACAGCGAGGGCTCTCCCGTCCCCTCTGTCGCTGTCCCCACACCCCCGGGGCTCCCACCCCGCTGTTTGCGCAGCAGCGAGAGGCGCCCGGGCGCTGTTTGCCCGGAGAGGCCGCGATGATGAAAGGGCTGCGCGGCCCCTCCAGCCCTCTCCAGAGGTGCTTTCGCACCTTCAAAGCACCCCTTGAAGCCGGGACAAGCTCCTGCGTCGCCCTGGGGACAGCTGGAGGCATCCGGCGGGGAGGAAGGAAGGAAGGAGACGTGGCCGGGCGCTATAGGCTGGAGCGGGGCTCGCTGCTCTGCCTGCGGCTGTGGTGGCGTTGGGACAGCTGGGGGCAGTGCCAGCCGTGTCCCCAACCGCGGCCACTTGTCACCGCAGTTGCTGGGGGCAGGAGAAACCCCCGGGGCAGCTCCGCGGATTTGTTTCCTGAGGAGGAAGGGAGGGCTTCACCTTCCAGGGAGGGAAAAGGACGGAGCGGTCCTGGGGCGGGAGGGTTCCGGTTCGGGACACCTTGGGGACATTCCCGGGGCTCCCAGGCTGGCTGAGATCGGAGCACAGAGGGAACATCAGCCCGGGGTGCCGGAGCCCAAGGGCTTGCGGGCAGGATTGGGGAGCTCAGAGCTGCTCTGGAAGGGCCGGGAGGGCATTTAGGGCACTGCGGCCATCGCGGGGACCCCGTGGGCAAGTGCGGGGAGTGGCAAAGCTTCGCAGGGTCTGCTGAGCCCCGAGCCAGAAGGGAACACACCGGGGCTCACCGGGGCTCACCGGCACACAGAAGGGAACACACCGGGGCTCACCGGGGCTCACCGGGACACATCGGGACTCACGGGAACACACCGGGACTTACCAGGGCACACCGGGGCTCACCGGGGCACACCGGCGCACAGAAGGGAACACACCGGGGCTCACCGGGGCTCACCGGCGCACAGAAGGGAACACACCGGGGCTCACCGGGGCTCTCCGGGACACACCGGGGCTCACGGGGGCTCACCGGGACACACCGGGGCTCACCGGGACTCACGGGGACTCACGGGGGCACACCGGAGCTGGCGGGGGCACACCGGGGCTCACCTGGGGCACATCCCCCTCTTGGGCACCCCGGGGCAGCCCCCCAGCCCAGCTCCCGCTCCCAGCCCGGCTCCTCTGCGTGCCCAGTGCCGCTACCACCTGGGCAATGGGGAAACTGAGGCACAGAGCTCTGGGCAGCGCTGTCCCCTCCGAGCGGGGGGTGCCCGGTGCGGTGTCCCCCGCGCGTCCCCGCGGCCCCACGGACGGAGCTTTGCGGGCCCGGCAGATGGCGCCCGGAGCCCGCCGGTGGCGCGGATGGGGACCGGGACCGGGACCGGGACCGGGACGGACCGGGGGGAGCCGGGATGGACCGGACTGGGCAGCGCTGATTCGTGCCAGGCTGGGCTGGGCTAGGCTGGTCCGTGATGGACCGTACCGGGCCGTGCTGGACTGGGCTGGACTGGGTTGGACTGGGCTGCATGGGCTGCACTGCTCGCTAGATTGGGGCTGTTTCCTCCCCACAGGGCTGGTGTTGAGCCCCCAGACCCATCCTCCGCTCCCCCCAGCTCCCGGTGCTGCCGGGAGGGCAGTTCCTGTGGCCTCATCCACGTCGGGAGGCAAAAGGAGGATGCAGCGGGTTCACACTCGCTGCCCGCGGAGTCTGTTCGTTGGTGGACTTTGCACCCGTGCGTGTAACAATTGGTGCAGGAGGTGAAAGCCCCGCTGTGTTTTCACAACATTTATTGCCCTTTCTAGAAGGAACTCGGCGCTGGAGAGGTGCAGCATCCTGCTGGGCTCGCCCGGGTCCCCAAGGACACTCTGTGTTTGTCCCAGGGTCCCCCAAYTTCCCTCCAGCCCGTGGTTCCTCACATCCCTGGCAGCTCCCAGCCCCTCCAGCCCCTTCCTCCTCACACAGACCTCGTTCCTCAGGGGCACTGAGTCCCCCCCGTTCTGTTTTTCTGCTGTTCCCTCCTTTTTAAAGCCAGATTTTGGGGGAACTGGTGGCTTTCAGAGGGGAAAAGCTCCGGGCTGGTTCTGGGAGGGCTTGGGGAAGGAGCGGCGATACCTCTGGGTGGCACCCAGGGTGGCACCCGGAGCTGGACACAAACACTGAGTGACCCCACTGCTGACCAGTGCCACAGCCACTCGCCTGCCGGTGCTGGCAGTGTCCGGAGTGAGCCCAGCACGAACCGGGGTGACAGCCAGGCAGGGGGACAGGTGACAAAGGCCACTCGAAGATGGTCCCTGGCATTGGGCGATGCTTCCCTGTTACCTGTCCCCTCTTCCCCACTTTGCCTGGCCGTTGTCCCCAGGCTGGTGGCACAGCTGGGTGTCCTCCCCAGCGTTTGCAGAGGGGGATCCCCAAATTCCGCCCCTCACGGAAGGGTGAGAACGGCGCTGGGAGCCCCCGGACGCTCTTGGGGACAGCGAAGGGCCCCCAGCCCCGCGCTCGGGGCGGCTGCTGCTCCAGAACCCCGTGAGCATCCCCGGTAGCCGGACCGCGGGGTCGCACCCCCCCCCGTCACCGTGTCCCCTCGGAGGGCGGGGACCGAGGAGAGACCACTCCCTTTATGCAGATCTGACCGCGGAGATTGGCAGGGGCGGGACCGGCGGCGCGGCCGGGCTATAAGAACGGGGGGAACAATGCGCCCGCGGTCCCGGCTCGGGGGCTGGCGCCGGGGTGGGGGTCCCCCCTCATCCCTGGGGCTGCCCCTTTCCTGAGCGCGGCCCTCGGGGGGTGTTCCCGTTTTCCTCTCCGCCGATTCCTTCCCCGTGCCGAGATGGAGTTTGATTCGTACCAGCACTACTTCTACGATCACGACGCCCAGGAGGATTTCCACCGCTCCACGGCTCCCAGCGAGGACATCTGGAAGAAGTTCGAGCTGGTGCCCACGCCCCCGCTGTCCCCGCTGGGTGCCCCCGGGGAGAAGGGGTGCTGCTCGGGGGCGGAGGAGCGCTCGGGATGGCTCTCCCGCTACTGCCTCGCCGGGGAAGAGCCGGAATATCTCATAGGGAMGGGGCAGATCTTCGGCAACCTGAGCGCTTTCATCCTCAAGGATTGCATGTGGAGCGGATTTTCGGCGCGGGAGAGGCTGGAGAAGGCGATGACGGAGAAACTTTCCACGGGCACGCAGAGAGCCACCCCGCACAAACCGTCCTTCGCGCAGGATTTTGGGTTCGGCAGCTCCGTGAGCGAGTGCGTGGATCCCGCCGCCGTCTTCCTTTGCCCGCTGGCCGAGAGCAAGATCCCCGCGTCCTCGGGATCCGAGGGCCAGAGCGATTCCGGTAAGGGATGCAGCCGCTCCGCCCCGCTCAGGTGCCTCCAGCCTCGCTGGAACCCGGCGTGGGGAACACGCGTGTCCACACTTGTGCGTGCCGGGAGCCTCCCAGCCAGGCTGCGCCTTTGTTGAGACTCCAAGCGAGCCCCGGTCCCGGCCCCACGAACAAAGCGGGCTCGGCTGCTCCCTTTTCCCGCRGGGTTTCTGCTCGGGAAACTCCTGCCCCTCTCGGGAGGGTGCGTGGGGCTCCCTCCGGTTGTTGCGTGGGGTTTGGTAGCTCCTTTCGCTCTTGTTGGCCCCACGAAAACCTCGCGGGAAGGTTGAAGGGCGAGTTCGCAGCTCGCCGTGGAAAGTTTGGGGTGTTTGGTTGCAGCGTCAGCTCGCAAGTTCGGCTGCTCCCCCCGCTTCCCCCCACGGTCCGTCCACTCTCCACGGGCTTCCCTCGGGACAAAAGGCAAACTACACCCCGGGGGCAGCAGGTTTGGGAGCAGYGGCACATCCCCCGAGGCGGTGGCTCGGTAGGACGGGCAGGAACAGCCGCATCAACTGCGGCGCGTCCCAGCCCAGCCCCGGGGCGCGTCTGCCCGTCCCGAGTGGGGTGTGTGGGTGGGCGCTGACACGGGGGGTCGGGCTGGGAAACGGAGATCCCTCCGAAATCCCCCCCTCGCCGCCAAGGGCAGCGTGGTGCCCCTTCCCCGCATCTCTCCGGCCTCACTGCTAATTTTCGGAGCTTGTTTGCAAACACCTTCCGGCTCTCCGCAATCCCCCGGAGGAGCCGCGGGTGGTTTCTCTCGCTCCCACGGAGGCYCGGCTGACTCGGCTGCCGTGGGAGCGCTGACGCGGTGCCGTGACCCCGTTAATAAATCTGCCGGTGGCCGCCACCTGCGCCGGTGAGTCACGGCGCGGGGACTTAATGCCATTAGGAACCCGGGGACGGTAAGCCAGGTCGCGGGCGTTAAGAGGCTTAACCCAAATATGCGGGGGCCCGGCGGGGGTCTCGGGGGTCCCGGTGGGGTCCCGGTGCCGCGGGGGTCCCGGAGGGGTCCGGCCGCGCCACGTGGGAGCCGAACAAAAAGCAACAGATTGCAAACAATGAGAGGGGCAGCGCTGATGGACAGGAGAAAGGACCAATGGGATGGCAGGATAGCCGGCTGGCCCCGCGGGACAGCCAATGAGCGGCTTCGGGGCGGGGCTAAGCGGTCTGACTTTTATTAATGAGAGTGTGTGTGTGTGTGTGTGTGTGTGTGTGTGTACGGGGATGAGACCGCGCGGGTTGTGACACTGATGAATGTCCCCATCCCAGCAGTTCCACTATCAGGGGGGTTTGGGCTTGCTGGACTGAGCCCCTAAAGCCTGAAGGGTTTGGGATGTGGGTTGGGGTCGTGGTGGAGAGCTCACCGCTCACAGGAGGATGGGGCCAAGCCTCTGCCYACGGTGCTGGTGTGGTTTGAGCATCTCGTGGGGCTTTTAGCGAGTGGCTGCATTTTCCCCCAAAACCTAGAAAAGAAGTTGGAGGYTCATCCCCTAAAGCGAGAGCGATCGCGGGTGTGTCTGGAGCCTGCTCACCTCGCTGTCCCCAAAGCCACTGGGCTTTACTGGGATGGGACAAAGCAGTGGCAACAGGCAGGGAACTTTGGGGCCAGTTAGGCTTTATTTAAATCTTTCTGTCCCCGGGCTTGAGATGCCTTTGAGGTTCAGATTCTGTGGTAGGGACCTCTTCACCTCTGCCTCCCTCCCGGCACAGTGGGGGATTGTCCCCGCTGTCCCCGGGAGGCCGGGGCTCAATGGGCTTTATCACTTGTGAAAAGTAACAAGTCATCGAGGTGGGAAGCGGCAGCCGAGGGGAACAAAGGGGAGTTCTGCCCTCATATCCCTCATTTACAATTCCAATGGGCCATGAAAGCACCCGAGCGGGATGAACTTTGGAACCGGGCTGTCCCAGCATCCTGCCCCTCCAGTTCCACCCCCTCCACGCAGTTTCTTGCCTGGTGATCCTTTATCACGAACACATGTTGCTCCTGGTGCTGAAGTGAGGCAGAAGTAAAGCCTCCCGGGACAGTTTTTGGGGATCAGGCGCATAAACAGGGAGGGAATTCCACTCCTTCCCCCGTGATGGTATTGGGAGGGCATTTAAATCACACAGTCCCATCTGGAGGTCGCAAATTCACAGTGCGTGAGCAAACTTTGGTGGGGACGTTTTCCAGGGAGCTGTGGGGACCCCCAAAATAGTGAATAGGGTTGATTGATGGTTCCCTGCTGACGGGGATTTGTTCTTTCTTTGGTTTTGAGCAGAAGGTGAAGAGATCGACGTGGTGACGGTGGACAAGAGACAATCGCTCAGCCTGAGGAAGCCGGTGACCATCACCCTGCGCGCCGACCCCCTGGACCCCTGCATGAAGCGCTTCCACATCTCCGTCCACCAGCAGCAGCACAACTACGCYGCCCGCTCGCCGCCGGACTCCTGTCCCCCTCCGGAGTCGCCCCAGCAGGACCAGSAGGAGGATGAGCCTCCCAGCACCGCGGAGCCGGCCCCTGCCGTGCCCCTGCCCGAGCCTGGCTTGCCAAAACCCAGCAGCGGCCCCGGCTCCGACAGCGAGGACGTGGCCAAGAGGAAAAACCACAACTACCTGGAGCGCAAGCGGCGCAACGAYCTGCGCTCCCGCTTCCTGGCGCTGCGGGATCAGGTGCCCGGGCTCGCCAGCTGCCCCAAAACCCCCAAAGTGGTGATCCTGAGCAAATCCTCCGAGTACCTGCAGTCCCTCATCAGCGCCGAGAGGAGGATGGCGGCCGAGAAGCGGCAGCTGCAGCTGCGCCAGAGCCAGCTGCTCAAACGGATTGCTCACCTCAAGGGGCACTAGCACCCCTGGTCCCCACCACATCCCCRGCTCTTTCTCAATTTGCACATTTTTTTTTATTTTTTTGTCGAACCGTTGGCCCCGGGGGCTGGAGCACGTGGTGGCAGCTGCAGGATGCCCCCAGTGTCACCTGCCCGGGGTTCCTGTGAGATTTTCCTTGTCCCCACTGTGAAATTTCCTCAGTGACCGCTCCAATTCAAGAACTCAAATCTTCTCCTCCTCTCCACACTCCCTGCACCCTTTTCTGCCATTTGCCACCGTCAGCGTTGCTGCGAGCTGCCCCTGGGCTTCCACCTCACCCTAAAAATCCCAAAAAATCCCAAGCAACCGTGTCTGCCTTGGCTCCTGGAAGCAGGCAGGCACAGAGCCCAGCACGGGGCTCRCTCTGGATGGATCCTGTGGAGATGGTGATGGTGGGATATCTCTCACCAGGATGAACAGCACCCTGTGGGCAATCCCCCTGCTCGGCTGGACCGTACCTCACTTCCTGGTCACTTCACGCAGTAGCTGATCTTGGATTTCACGTTCTAGAAACTGCTGCTGTAACTGCGAGTCTTATTACTGGAGGCTGTGTTTTTATACTGTATTTTTGTACCACTTTTTGAGAAGTATTGGTAAAGAGTTTGCTTTTTTATATATATATATAAATATAAAAACCTTTTTTTTTTAAGGGGAATTTCCTGCTGTGGGGGAGGGCTCAGTCCTGCTGCACTTTAGGGAGATCAGGAAGGGGCTGGTTCCTGCTGGACCCTTGAGCTGAGTCCTCGCAGAGCCCATTCACCCCCTTGCAGCTCTCCAAACCACCCATTTGCAATAACAGGGGATTTTATCCCTTCCCCACCCTTGTGAGCATCCCTGTGACCCCTTTTCCCAATTTTCTGAGCACCCCTTCACCAGCGGCCGCTTCAAATCCCCGGCAAAGCTTCGGGCTTTGCAGGGACCAGGTTGGGCTGCGCTGCCTTCCCCGTCTGTGCCCTCCKGCTGCCCAACCTGGGGCTGTGTGGGTGCCAGGGTCCCCTGTCCCCTCCCAGGGGTGCTGGCAGGGGTGGTCCCGCAAGGACGGCACCCTCGGGGTCCCTGCTGACCTGCTGAGAACTGTTAGAGTTAACACTGGTTGGATTTAGCACTTTCTTCATTACCTCACACTTCATAAATAAATAAGTTTGCAACAGCCTTGGGTTGGCTTTTTCCATGCAGTCGGCTGTGGGTTTCCATGCATCACACCCCGGTGCTCCTGGGGGGGCTGCTCCRGGCCCTGAGGTTTGGGGTATCCTAGAATGAATAGAAATTAATCTATTTTGCACCGGGGCTGAGCTGCACCAAGACTGAGCTCTTTGTCCTGCTTTTCTCCCRGCGATCGAAGAAGAAGTGCTCAGGGCGGTGGGGCCAGGGAAATGAATCACCTGGATTATTTTTCCTCCTTTTAAGTGGTTTTATTGGCAAGGAAGGGCAGAGAGCCCAGGCTGGGGAAGGCTTTGATGTAACCATAAACCCCCCTAATGGGGTTTGGGGCAGGGGGTGCGGGGTGATCGCTGCCCCACGGGTCAGGGGCCRGGGCTGTGTCTGGCAGTAACCCTATAGGGAGGGGGGAATGCAATCCACTCYGCTTCCAGGGGCAGCGGAGAGCTGCACATCCCAGATCTGCCAAGTGGATGAAATTATATATATGTGTGCTCTCCCCGCTGCCCCCAAAGCCCGAGCGTTTGGGTTTCCTTTGTCCTGGCAGCAAAGTCTTGCTCTAAATGCAGGAGGGACGCGGGATTAGGTTACTGCTGAGGAGCCAGCAGCGAGGAGCTGCTGCTGGAGCCTCCATCACMGGGGGAAAACCAGCCTGAAACAGCGAGAGTTTCCTGCAAAAACCCCAAAACGCACATCCCCTTCGCTCCCAGCAGCGTTTCGCGCTCTCTGTGTTGCATCACTCGGTGTCACAGCCTCTCAGAGCTGCATTAGAAGGTGCTCCCGTGACCCACGGCTTAACCGGGGAGCGGGSTGACCTAAATCTGACACCTCGCCCATGCGCAGCAAACAAAGCCCAGATGCGCCAGCCCCTCGAACCGTTATTTTTCTTGCTTTTTTTTTGTGACACGCTCGCAGCTGGGTGTCTCTTCTCGGCTCAAGGTGACCCTCCCGAGAAGGTTTTTAGCGAATTTGCCTTTTTTTTTTTTTTTTTTTTTTTTTCCCAAGCTGAAGGGGCGGAGGAAGTTTAAAACATTAATTATCTTTCTTGGAAATGATAAACGGGCTGAGCTGAGACCGTCACCAGTGGGAGATGTGGCTGGTCCCAAATCAAACCGAAAAACCGAGTTCTGAAACAGCTCTGAGTTCTCCTGCCTAAAGCCTGCATGCATATGGATTCACCTGAAACTTCCCCGGTTACAGGAACACGTGTCTCCCTTCATCCTGTCACGGCCAGGACGATGGAAGGAGACTGACAGCGCTATGAAGTGAACAAAATAAGCACACTGGGCTTTCCTTCTTGCTTGTTCAGCACTGCGTTTTGTGAATGTCAGCTGCAATCATCACAAASTGGCACTTCCAGGGCCTGAATTATTTTTTTTTTAATGCACATTGCCCTGCTAACACCCTGCTCTTTGCTGTACCCCCCGAACCACTTCTTTCGCCCATCACAATTCCCCTCCCACCCCTGTGCGCCGGCCCGGGGGTGTCGTGGGGCACGATGCCGCCTTTCACGCCTGGGCTGGCAAATTTTTAGGACAGTTTCCCGAGGCGGCGATAATCCCTTCCCTGGYGAGGGGGGCCGGCTGCCCGCACCCCCCCGGCTCTCAGCCTCCCTCTCCCTGTTGCCATGGCGAGGGATGCGCGTTGCCAGGGAGAGCAGCACCGCGGAGGTGCCATGGCAACGGGCTCGCCGTTTCCCTCGCCTCTGTTGCCACGGAGACAGCAGCCCGCTCCCCATCTCTTCTTGTTGCCGTGGCGATGGGGAAGGGAGGACGAGCCTTGGAGGAGGCTGCGGTCGCCACGGCAACACGCTCGTCCCCGTTGCTATGGCAGCAGCCCCTCGCATCATCCCGCTCTGCCCCGTTGCTATGGCAACAGCCCCGCTCCTCATCTCCTTGCCCCGTTGCTACGGCAGCTGCATCCTAAAATAAAGGGATCCCACCCCGTCCTAAAAAAAAGGGATCCCGGAGTGGAGCCCCACGTGTGGAGACGGCTGTGAGGGGACCGGGGGGACACGAAAAGGGGCCGGGGGAGCGGGGATGGGTTGGGCCAACCGGGGTTGGGCGGGGAGGGGACCGGGCTGGGTCTGGAGAACGGGGGGCACCGGGGGGGTACCGGGGAGTACCGGGGGGGCACCGGGGGGGTACCGGGGCGCACCGGGGGGGCACCGGGGGGGTACCGGGGGCACGGAGGAGCACCGGGCTGGGGAGCAGAGCCCCGGCGGGCAGGAACACATGTTGCTCCGGGCCCGGCCCCGTCCTCCCCGCGGGCGGCCCCGGTCCCGGTCCCGTCCCGCCCCCGTCCCGCCCGCCGTTCCCGGCCGGGCCATGGCGGCAGCGGCCGCGCTGTGCCTGGGCCGGGCCCCGCGGCCTCCGCGGCCGCTCGTGGTGATCCTGGGCGCCACCGGCACCGGGAAATCGGCGCTGGCGCTGCAGCTCGGGCTGCGCCTCGGCGGSGAGATCGTCAGCGCCGACTCCATGCAGGTACGGGGAGGCACCGGGCACCGGGGAGGAGCCGCGGCCGGAGCGGGGCCTGCGCCGGGCCCGGGGTGTTGGGAGGCGGCTCGGCCTGCACTAAATGCGGCTCGGTCTGCACTAAATGCGGCTCGGTCTGCACTAAATGCGGCTCGGTCTGCACTAAATGCGGCTCGGTCTGCACCGGGGGCGGCTCGGTTTGCACCAAATGCGGCTCGGCCTGCGCTAAATGCGGCTCGGTTTGCTCTGGGAGTGGCCTGGGCTGTACCGGAGACGGGCCGGGATGCACCGGGAGCCGCTCGGCCTGTACCGGGAGTGGCCTGGGTTGTACCGGGGACAGCCTCGGCTGCACCGGGGGCGGCTCGGTTTGCACTGGGAGTGGCCCGGGATGTACAGGGAGTGGCCTGGGCTGTACCGGGAGTGGCCTGGGCTGTACCGGGAGTGGCCCGGGATGTACCGGGAGTGGCCTGGGTTCTGCCGGGTTCAGCCTGAGCTGCACCGGGGGCGGCTCGGTTTGCACTGGGAGTGGCCCGGGATGTACCGGGAGTGGCCCGGGATGTACCGGGAGTGGCCTGGGCTGTACCGGAGGCGGCCCGGGATGTACCGGGAGTGGCCTGGGCTGTACCGGGAGTGGCCTGGGTTGTACCGGGAGTGGCCCGGGATGTACCGGAGGCGGCCCGGGATGTACCGGGAGTGGCCTGGGTTCTGCCGGGTTCAGCCTGAGCTGCACCGGGGAAGGTCTGGGCTGAGCCTGGAGGGTCGGGTCCGGGCCTGGAGAAGCTCAACTCCGGAGGCTCYGAGCCCGGTTCTCCCCGGTTCTCCCCGGTTCCCCCGGGCTCCGTGTCCGGGTGCTGTTGGGGCGAGCCCGCGGGATGGATCCTGCCCGCTGAATGTGCTCCCGGTGTCCCTGCCCTGGTCCTGGTGCCCGTGTCCCTCTCGTGTCCCCGGTACCCCTGTCCTGGTGTCCCTGTCCTGGTGTCCCTGTCCTGTCCCTGGTGTCCCTGTCCTGGTGCCCGTGTCCCCATGTCCCTGTCCTGTCCCCGGTACTCCTGTCCTGGTGTCCCTGTCCTGCTGCCCGTGTCCCTCTCCTGTCCCCGTTCCCCTGTCTCAGCCCTGGTACTCATGTCCAGGTGCTCTTGTCCCAGTGTCCCTGTCCTGGTCCTGATGCTCGTGTCCCTCTCGTGTCACCGGTACCCCTGTCCCAGCTCTGGTATTCGTGTCCTGGTGCTCTTGTCCTGGTGTCCCTGTCCTGGTGCTCCTGTCCCAGTTCCAGTGTCCCAGTCCCAGTTCCAGTGCCCCGGTCCCGGTGGACAATTGTTTGGTTCGTGTGAGTGGTGTCTCTGTGTCCCCTCTCACTGTCAAAGGACATGGCGACACAACCAAAATTTTTCCTCAAGCCCCCCATCCAAA